AGTCATGTAGAACGTTTTGGTTTCCCTTTGCAGTCAATTTCCTTTTCATAACCCCAACCTGTAGCAACCACTGATGTGCTGTCACTGTAGTTTTGCTTTTTCAAAAAATCATAAATGAAATCACACAGGATGTAGTTTTTGTGTCTGTCTTTATTCATGTAAGTATGAAGCTTTCTTGATTCATTCATGTGCTATTGTATATCAGTAGTTCATTTTTATTATTGAGTGTTATTCCATTATACAGATATACCACAATTTATTCATCTCTTCACTAGTTGGTTGATGGACATTTTGATTGCTTTCAGTTTTTTGATTATATGTAAAAGTCTCTGGTTGGATATTATTTTCACTTCTCTTGGGTAAATATGTAGGAGTAGGATTGCTTAGTCATATGGTAAGTGTACGTTTAAATTTCAAAGGCTCTGTTTTCCAAAGTGGCTGTACTCTGTTATATGCTCTCTAGCAACATAAGATAATTCCTATTTATTATATTTTTAGCTATATATGTGTGTCTTTTTCCTTTGTTCAGCTAAAAACTCCTTAAGGTCAAGGAGCTTGATACCCCTATGCCAATGCCTAGTGTATTATAGATGCTAAATAAATTTTAAGATTGAATATGTATGTGTTTAAACAGGTTATCTTTTTGTGTACCAAAGATAAAAATGACTTTCCTCGTTGAATGAAAATATGAATTGTGTGGTTGAAAATTATGGGGGGTTTTGTCATTTTTTTTTCTTTTAGGAAGAATTTTGTTTGCAGTTACTTTTTAGCACTGGATACAGTTTAGCAAGTGTTTTATAGCTTACACTCTTTTATAGCAATATAACAATATTGAAACACTTTTTTTTAACATGTTTGGCATCTGTCTTGAAGGAAAATATTTTAAGTTTACATTACTTCATTATTTGGGCTTTCTTTGACACTTATTTTGTGATGTATTGTTTGTCATATATTGATGGTTCTATAATCAACTATTTGGTTGAATTATACTTACCCTTAATGTTTTCCCTGAAATTAATTCAATCTCTTGTAGTCTGCCCTATTCGTTAGGAAAACTTCATTTGAAGTTCTTGGCACTGGAAGGAAATCCTTTGAGAACTATTCGAAGAGAAATTATAAATGTAAGCATATTTAGAATTCAGCTCTGGTTTTTAAATTTGATATTTAAACATACATGTTGATCTATAAACCTGCAGTGTTTGTCTTGGTGAATATATGTCTTTCTCTCCATCTTTTCAGAAAGGAACCCAAGAAGTCTTAAAGTATCTACGAAGCAAGATTAAAGGTACTTTTGTATTTTCTCCTATATTTTGAAGGATAATATGAAGAGTTATGAATTATTAATAGTATATAAATTTCAGATATAAATATTTAGAGGAAATGGTCCCTGGAAGGTGGCTCTTCTGAATCTATTTAGGCTATAAATATGCTGAAATTTATAAGCATCCTTAAATTCACAACAATAATGTTCTATTCTTAATCTCTTTGATTTGTGTTATACTGTACCAATTAGAAAATATAACAAAGATTCTATAAGCACCTAATGCTTTATCTTTGAAAAAAGAGCAAAACTTGACCATTATATTATAACATATGGGTTCTATTGACTAGGAAGAATGTCAACAGGGATTTGAATATCTACTGCATTCATAGTTTTGGTGAGTTCTGACAAAAATAAAGACAAAACACATTTTTCAGGGTATGTTAATTTAGCATATACATGCATCAAAAAAGAAAATGATACTGTAAAGTTAATTTTTAATACTTCACTAAAATTGTGATGTACACCAGTTTCTATTTTCACGTTTTGTCATTGTAGCGTACACCAGAACATTAAGAAAAAAGTTAGTTGTGCCAGTGTACTCCTGCATAACAAACCACTACAAACCTTAGTGACTGACTACAGCAGCTGTTAATTTAGCTCTCAGCTCTGTTGGCTGCATGCAACCTAGCTTAGCACCATATTGCCAGTCAGTATACGTTAAGTAAGGTAATTGTATACTTTAGCAATTTCCATTTTCCACTTTGCCCTTATAATAAATTATTAACATAATTTTCTAAGACTTTCATTTCCTGACAATCAGAGAGTTTTCTTTCTTCTCCAGATATACTTTCTCCTCGAGAAAAATTTGATTATTCTGATGTAAATAAAGGAAGCCGTGTCAGAATAATAAAAAAAATTTTTTAAGACTTCTTTTAGACTAGTTTTATGTTCACAACAAAATTGAGAGGAAAGTACAGAGATTTCCCATATATCCTCTGCCTGCATACATGCATAGCTTCCCTCAATATCAGCATCACCCACCAGAATAGTGCGTTTTTTACAAGGATGGACCTATGTTGACATACCATAATCACCCAAAGTGCATGATTACCTTAGGGTTCACTCTTGATATTGTATATTCTATGGGTTTAGACAAATGTATAATGACATATATTCAAAGTTGTAACATACAAAATATTTTCACTACCCTAAATCCTCTATGATCTGTGCTCATCCTCCCTCTCCCCATATCCTTCCCCCATCCCTGGCAACCACTGATCTTTTTCTTGTCTCTGTAGTTATGCTTTTTCCAGAATGTCACATAATTAGAATCATAGAGTCTGTGATCTTTTCAGATTGGCTTCTTTCACTTAGTAATATTCATGTAAGCTTCTCCCAAGTCTTTCCATGGCTTGAGAGCTTTTTTCTTTTTAGCACTAAATGATCTTTCATTGTCTGGATGTACCACAGTTTATTTACCTATTCACCTACTGAAAGACATCTTGGTTGCTTCTGAATTTTGGCAGTTATGGATAAATCTGTTTTTTTGCATATGTACATCCTGTTGTTTCAGTATCATTTGTGGAAGAGACTATCTTTATTCCATTGTATTGCCTTTATTCCTTTGTTGAAGATCAGCTGACTACCTTTATGGGGATTTATTTACAGATTCTCTGTTCTGTTTATTGATCTATGCGTTCTTTGCCAGTATCACACTGTCTTGATTACTGAAGCTTTATAGTTAAGTCTTAAAGTTGGATAGCATCAGTCTTCCAATTTTATTCTTTTCCTTCAATGTTGTATTGCCTATTCTGGGTCTTTTGCCTTTCCATATAAACTTTAGAGTTAGTTTGTTGATATTGACAAAGTAACTTGCTGGGATTTTGATTGGGATTGCATTGAATACATAGATCAAGTAGGGAAGAACTGACATCTTGTCAATATTGAATCTTTCTATACATGAACATGGACTATCTCTCCATTTATTTAGATCTTTTATTTTATTCAGCAAAGTTTTGTAGTTTTCTTCAAATAGTTCTTGTTCATATTTTATTAAATTTATACCTGAGTATTTCAGTTTTGGATACTAATGTAAATGGTATTGTGTTTTTGATTTCAAATTCTACTTGTTTATTCTTGATATTGAGGAAAGCAAGTTAGTTTTACATATTAACCTTGTATCCTGCAACCTTACTATAATCACTTATACCAGGAGAGTATTTTTGTCAATTCTTTTGATTTTTCTAATGCATCATCTGTGAGCGAAGATAGTTTTATGTCCTCCTTCCGAACCTGTGTACTTTTTATCTCTTTTTCTTGTCTTTTTGCATTAACAAGAGCTTCTGTCAGTGCAGTGTTGAAGAGAAATGGTGAGAGGGGACATCCTTGCCTTGTACATGATCTTAAGGGGGAAGTTCAAGTTTCTCAATATTAATTATGATGTTAGCTATAGGGTTGTTTTGTTCTTTATCAAGTTGAGAAAGTTCCCCGGTTTTCTAGTTTACTGAGAGTTTTTATCATGAAAGGCTATTGGATTTTATCAAACACTTTTTGTGCATCTACTAATACAACCATGTAATTTTTCTTTTTTAACCTGTTGGTGTGAAAGATTACATTAGTTGATTTATGAATGTTGAACTAGTTTGGCATATTTGGGTTAAATCCCAGTTGGTTGTGGTGTATAATTCTTTTTATACTTTTTAGGTTCTATTTGCAAGTAATTTGTTGAGGGTTTTTGCATGTGTGTTCATGGGAGATACTGCTTTCTAGTTTTCTTTTCTTGTAGTGTCTTTGACCTGTTTGGTATTATTGGCCTCATAGAATAAGTTAGGAAGTATTCTCTCTTGCTTCTATCCTCAGAAAATGATTGTAGAGAATTAGTATAATTTCTTTCTTAAATGTTTGGTAAAATTTACCAGTCAACCCAACTGGACCTGGTGCTTTCCGTTTTGGAAGGTTATTAATTATTGATTAAATTTATTTAATGGATATAGGTCTATTTGGGTTGTCTGTTATTCTTGTGTGAGTTTGGAAGATTATGTACTTCAAGGAATTGATTCATTTCTTCTAGGTTATCAAAATTGTGAGCATAAAGTTGTTCTTAGTATTCTTTTATCTTCCTTTTCTTGTCCATGGAAACTACAGTGATGTCCTCGCTTTCATTTCTGATATTAGTAATTTTTGTTCTCTCTCTTTTTTGCTTAGGTAGCCTGGCATACAGGCATATTGAATTCATCAACCTTTTAAAAAATCAGACTTTGGTTTTATTTATTTTTCTCTATTGATTTCCTGTTTTCAATTTCATCAGTATCTGTTTTAATTCTTATTATTTATTTTCTACTCTTTCGATTTAATTTTCTTTTCTTTTTGTAATTTCCTAAGGTAGAAAATTAGATTATGGATTTTAAATCTTCTTTTCTTGTATATGCATTCAGTACTATAAATGTCCCTCTAAACACTGCTTTCACTGTATCCATCAAATTTTAATAAGTTTTGTTTTTATTTCTATGTAGTTCAAAGTATTTTAAAATTTTTCTTTAGATTTTTTTCTTTAAGTAGTGTGTTATTTAGAAATACGTCATTTAATCTCTATATATTTTAGGAATTTCCAGTTATCTTTCTGTTATTGATTTCTAATTTAATTCCATTGTGGTCTGAGAACAGACATTGAATGCTTTCTGTATTTTTACGTTTTTAAAGGTATGTTTTATGACATTTTAAGGTATAAGGACAATTAAATATATTAGGATATATACTAAGCTGCTGTATTGTATATCACTTCTCATGTCTTTAGTCAGAAACTTATATTATGGTCACTCATGTAAATGTAACTGGGAGCTTTTCTTTTTAAACAAAAACAGCTTTATTACTGTGTAATTCACATGCCACATAATTCTCCCATTAAAACTGAACAATTAAATGTTTTTTTGCTGTATTAACAAATATGTGTAACTCTTGCTGTGTCAATTTTAAACATTTTCATCACCTCAAAAAACATTGCAGTGCCTTTTATCTATTGTGGATAATGCTGTGGTAAACATTTATTTACAAGTTTCAATGTGAACATATGTTTTCATTTCTCTTGCGTATATATCTAGCACGTGGTAACTTTATATTTAGCCATTTGAGAACTGCCAGACTTTTACAAAGCAGCTGCACCAGTTTACATTCTGATTAGCATTGTATGGGGGTTCTCATTCTTCCACATCCTCACCAACACTTGTTGTTTTCTGACTTTCTGATTCTAGCCATCCTGGTGGGTCTGAAGTGGTTTCTCACTGTAGATTTGATTTCATTTCCCTGATGAATAATAATATTGAGCATCATGTGCTTGTTAGCCGTTTGTACGTCTCTGGAGAAATGTCCATTGAGATTCTTTACCCAATTTTTAATTTTTTTATTATTGAGTTGTAACAGTTCTTTATGTATTCTAGATGATATAAACTTCTTGTCAGACATATGATTGGCAAATATTTTCTAGCCCTGTGAGGGCTGTCTTTTCATTTTCTTGATAATGTCCTTTGAAACACTAGTTTTTAAAATTTTGATGAAGTCAGCTTCTTTCTCTTTTTGCTTATGCTTTTGGTTTCATATCTAAAAATCCTTTGCAAAATCCTGTTTTATGAAGATTGTCCCCTGTGTCTTCTCCTAAGAGTTTTAAATTTTTGCTCTTACATTTAAGTCTTTGACCCACTTAGAGTTAATTTTTATATATGGTGTGAGATAAGGATTCAATTTCATTCATTTATATATGGCTCTCCAGTTTCCCTGCATCATTTGTTAAAAAGTTTTTCTCATTGAATGGTCTTGGTATTTTTCTTGAAAACCAGCTGACCATAAATGTAGGGTTTATTCTGGACTTTGAATTTTACTCCATTGATCTGTATCTCTTTCCTGTGTCAGTACTACACTATCTTGATTACCATTGGTTTGTAGTAAATTTTGAAATCAGGAAGTGTAAATCTTCCTTCTTTATTCTTCTTTTTCAGGCTTGTTTTGCTATTCTGGGTTTCTTGCAATCCTGTACAAATTTTAGAATGAGTTTGTTGATTTTTACAAAGAAGCCAGTTGGGAATCTGATAGAGATTGCATTGAATTTGTAGATCAGTTTGTGGAATATTGCCATCTTAGGTTTTTTAATCAAAAAGTCAATAAATGTATGCGGTAAAAAAATTTCAAGCAACATACAAGGATATATAATGAAAAGTAAATCTATTTCTCACACTAGTTCACACCTAAGAGATAAATCTCCCTCTTTACATTCTCCATGATGCTGATTATTAAAAGTAACTTTTTGGAAAGTGTTCAGAACACTCTATTTCAATATATAATCATGGTAGTATACATGTATGTTTAAGTATAATGCTAGGTTTTATTGCTGGTTTAATATTGTCTCTCTGCCTTTGTAATTTATCAGATTGGAAATATCAAAAATAAAGTCTTAAATTTGCTAAGGAAAAAATCTAAAATTTTTTCGTAAATAATGTACCAAAAGCTTACTTGATTATGCAGATCACCAGATTTTAAGTGACTGGGGATAATTGGCTTTGTTGTGTCCTAAACTGAGAAGATAGGCATGTGCCTTTTTGGTAAACATTTTGGGGAAATAATACTTTTCCTTTGCTAAAAAATTCCTTCTAATGGACCATATTATTTTGTTTAAGAGGAAGGGTTGCTTGTCATTGTTTCTTCTGAGACATTGTAGTTATTCTTTAAAGATTCTTTTCTTGCAATTCTAATTTTACTCCTTAGTTTCCTTATGGTAGGAATTATTAAAAGGTTTTGAAGGCATCTTATAGAACTATATCTATTTTCTGTTAAATAGATATTAAATTCTAGACCTAGATTTGAGTTACTGGAAATAAAACATGTGACTAACAATATTCTCACCAATAATAGCTAGAAATCATACATACTATTTTTATGTATTTTCAGGAATTCCTTTTTAAAAGACTTCATAGTATAACTGTTGGTTTCATATAACCTTTCTTTTGCTAGATGATGAACCTAACCAAAGTGACTCTGTCGTTGAGACTGCCATGACACTACCAAGTGAATCGAGAATCAATGTACATGCCATCGTCACATTAAAAATGTTAGACTATAGGTATGTAATTCATTTTTTAAATATTGCTAAACACGTAAGAAACTTTCAGAAATAATCCTTCAGAAAAAGACAATTGACAAGGAAGATTAATCAGATTGCATTAGTCCTTAGGATAATAGCAACTGCAGAAACAATGATGAGATAAAAGCATATTAAAAGCACAGTGAACTTCTATGCCCATTCCTTAGGTGATTTATGTTAATTATACATAAGAGATAGATAAATAGTTATTCATAGTGAAATTTTTATAATGAACATTTCATTAGTATAAAAATTAAGAGTGACAACATTGTTTGGTAATAAAATTTTCTGACTCAGTAACCAGCATCCAGAGAGAATTTAATATTAGAGTGGGGGTCCTATATTGGTAACTAAGAAATAAGTATCATTTAGTTGATGAACACCTCAAGCAGGCAAAGCTTGAGAAGCTGTACTCTGTTTATGTATCTGAGTCTAAGTCAAATAATGTGTCATAATATGAATATATGATCTGTTAGCACATACATTAAGCCTGAAACAATTATAATGTTGGTATATAAATTGAGACAAAAGTCTAATAATTTTTATGTATTATGGGCGTGTGTTTGATTAGAGAAAGAAGATACCTATGCAGAGATTGGAAGTGGTTGTCAAGTATTCTTCAGAACTATCTAAGGCAACAATGATAAAAATAGCCAATACTGTCAAAGCTCTTGCAGTAATTGGGTCATGTTTGGATATTATAATGAAAATGCAGAACAATACAGACTCAAGTCAGGTAGTGACTAGATTGGAGTATCTTATTTAAAGTATAAATTAATTCCCAATCTTAAAGGATAAATGCCTTCAACTAAAGTCTTAAAAATAGCATTAATCTTTAAAGTTTGATTGGAATAAATCACTTCCCCATGACTTGAACATTCCTGATTGAAAAGATAAAAGTGCTCCATCTGCACAGTGGAAAATGGGACCAGAAGACAGAAGTAGAAGGCATACTAACTGTGAAATTTAGACATTTATCTTAATGTATTACAGTGCTTTTCTTACACGTTTCTCTCATACTGCACATTACATGCAATATTGTTTTCTCGTTCATGCAGTCATTCATTTGGCATTCCATTGAGGATTCTTTTAAATAGATAATATGTTAGGCATTAAAAATCACAAAAAAAAGAAAAAGAACATAAATATAAGAGCTAATTATAACATCAAATTGTTAAATCTGCAAATATTAGTGTTCTACTTTACCTTCCTTTAAGATTCTATTTTACTGAAAATCTTACTGAAAGGGAAAATGAAATTTATTTATGTTTATATTTGCTAAAGATCTGTCATAAATCATAATGGATAACTCTTTAGATTCTAATTTCATAGAAATGAGGTTCAGGAAAGGTAAACTACAAAGCTTATTAATGGTAGGACCAGGAACAGTTTAGTCCACAGCCATGACCTCATGTACCTTGTTGCATGCTAAAGGAGAGAGAAATTGGTTTAGGTTATGAGGAAACTGGTTTAGTATAGTGTTGAACTTTTATAAATTATCTTGTAGTTAACTGTATACCCAAAGAAAGTTGACAGATCACCCCTGTTAGAAATTTGTAAGAAAAGTACAAGAATCCTTTTTTAAATTAAAGATACAGTTCTACTCTGAAGTAGAGGAATCTACTTACTGTTCATTTACTGTATGACTTCTAGACATCTTAGGCTCTGAAGATATCTCTGTCTTTATTCACATTGAATATATGACCTCCCAGAAGGTGTGACACAACGTGTTGTGACACAGTATGTTGTTTGAATTCCTAACAGTTAACACTTTGTGGGTTGGCAGTTTTTTGTGGCATTCTCTACAGAACTTTTTAATCTACTACCTTTGAAAAAGCTCCTTATGAAATCTTTAAAGGCATTTGAAAATGAAAAGCATAATTATATCTTTCCAGACTGCTAAGAATGATGTATTTTTAAACCACTTTTTGTTTAGTGATAAACAAACAACTTTGATTCCTGATGAAGTGTTTGATGCAGTAAAAAGCAATATTATCACTTCTGTTAACTTCAGTAAGAATCAGTTATGTGAAATTCCCAAAAGGTAAGAACTGTTCACAATGACATTTTTATTGAGTTGTGACTCATTCTCAGGTGTGCTTGCATTTTAGTTGTAAAATAATTATTTTTTTATAGTTTTTTAATTAGAAAGTATATGTAAAATTTTTTGCATTGTTAATATTTGAGGGATTCAACAAAATTGGCTTAAAGTATTATTCCCTGAGACACTTGTTAACATTTGTTCTGAGAGGTATGTAAGTTTTTTACAATTTTCTTTTTCTTTTATATTTTAAACTTAGAAAATAGGTATTAGAATTATTAAAAGTATTAAATTACTTTTTCCTATATAATGAGATATCAGAGGAAAAGTTTTAAGAGACAATCTAAAGCCAAGTCCATGTAGATTAGCAGGAATTTGGGGCTTTATATTAACAAATTGCCAAACCACTGAATTTCTCCACTGATAGTAAAAGTAGAGTTGACTAAACTCTGTTAATATTTTCCTCCCAGAAAAGGATTCTTTATTTATAGATATTAGAGGTTGTTTGCATTGTACTCTGTACTGTTAATACATCTTCCTGGATGTTAACTATAGCAAAATCTTTAGGTTATGAGAGAAAATTAATTTAGTATAGTGTTGAACTTTTAGAAATGATTGTTATCTTGCAGTTAACTATATATCCAAAGAAACCTGACAGGTAACCTTGCATTTAAAACAATAGTATGAGAGACAGGAAGAGTAATGGTAAAGAACTTGGGCAATAGAGTCAATTGCTTGTATCTGTACTCCTGATCTACGAGCTTTGTGGCTTTGGACTGGTTAACTAGCTGTTCTTAGTTTCCTCAACTGGGAAGTAGAGATAAAAGTGGATCTATTTACCAGAATTAAATTAAATGACATAATCCGCATAAAACATTAACACATAAGCCTAGCACTTAGTAAGAACTTTAGTACTTAAAAAAAAAAAGATGATGTATTGGAAAAATAGAATGGCTTTCATCTGACTTCCAAAAATTCTTCTTAGATGTTTTAAATTTTTAAAAAGTCAGACAAACTATTATTTGCTTTCTGTTTTACAGGACATAGTTTGGGGAATGTAGGTCTTGAAAGATGATAACTTTAAGAGGTTACACTGCAAAAGGAGATCTAGTCCATCTTTCCTTTCTCTCTTGTTTAAAGGGAGTCAAGATATTTGATAGAATAGTTGAGCATTTAGATTTGCTCTCTGATAGAATATGTTTGCCTTGAGAATCCTGAATCAAAGAGGCTGATTGGGGATGAAGATGGATGGAGTTAAAAGATATTATGTTTTTACTTAATTTCTCATTTTACGCCACAGTCTGGTTATTCTTATGCAAAACAATAAGCTTTTCTGTTGCCACAGTTATTTCTTCATGTTTTTAGTAATTCAGAATGACCATGAAGAGAGATAGTAAAGACATACCTGCTGCAGAGAATTTTTGAACTACTTTCCCTCTTTCTTAAATTTTTATTTCACAAGTCACATTTTTCACCATATTACATAATGATTGCAAAAATAATACTTATTTATAAAATATTGGACTAAATGAAGGGACAGATCATTTAGTGTCATCACTGATTTATTCTGTTAGCTTCCTGGCATATTTTATTTCAAGCTACCACCCATTTAGAATTACACATACAATTTGTACCTTGACTAGATTTGTCATAAGCATTTTCCTACCTTGTAAATGATACTTTTAAAATCTAATTTATCTTTATTACCATAAGCTTGATTATGACAGTAGATAAAACAAAATATTGTTTCTTTAGGCCAGATTTTCAAAAGAATTATTGAATCAGAGTATGGCTCTCAATACATATACCCAAAAACTTTCCAAAAAAGTTTTATCAGTTACATATCTAAAGTCATTGTATTTTTCACTGTATCTTCTTTAGCATAGCATTTGATGTTCTTTTTTTTTTTCTTTCCTAATATGATAGACAAAAATGATTTATAGTTTAACTTTCATTTTTTGGCAAATCATATATGATGTTTGTTGTTCTTATAGTTAAATTAATATCATACTTTCAAACTATTAAGCGTGATTAGGCCTACTTAGAAATATTTACTTCTTCCTCTTTAAATCTTTGGTTTAAGTTGCTTAGTAGTAACACTTACCAAATGTAGGAATTAATGTTTTCCTGCAAACATGATTAAGTGTAATGATAATTTGGATAACAAATACTATACTTTTTAAATGCTGACATACATTTTAAAAACATTTTGAAGTACTAGATACAGATGGTATTATATCATGAAGCTAAAGGGAAAACTACTATGTAATAGAATACATGTCTAACAATGTATTTTATGGATTCATGTCATTAACAGAATATGTTACAAACATTGCTGGGTTTGATTTTTTTTTTTTGTGCCCATAATTGGTTTAAATATAAAGTGAATGGTTTCTTAAATTAAGAATACATTTAAGGTCAAATAGAAATTCTTGAACAGATAATATTACAGCTATTTTAAAAAATATTTTTATCAGTTATGCATGCAAGTTGATTGAAATTTTTGTGAGAAAAGTAAATGTTACTGAAGATCTTAATTATCAAAAATAATGTAAGATTTTTTTCCTCCGTGGTCAGCTTGTAGTTTTGAAGTTCCAACAGTGAATTCAAGTGTTAACATTTAAAAATTATTTTTGTTTCAGGATTGTGGAACTGAAGGAAATGGTTTCTGATGTCAATCTCAGCTTTAATAAGCTTTCCTTTATATCCTTGGAACTATGTATGCTTCAGAAATTGACTTTTTTAGATCTCAGGTATTATATATGATTGCTTAACTTTTTGAACTATAACTTATCTTTGAGTTTTACCTAACTTTTGCCATATTCCTCGTGACTTTCTAAGAAAAGAAATTGGTCTTTAGTTAGTTAATAATATATTAAGGGATATCTAAAATTAAGCGTTTAGGGGATTATTTTAAACATGTCATTTGTAGGCAATTTACAAGTTTTATGATAAGACAATAATTTAAAGTATTAGAAAGCATTAGCACATTGTTTAGATTCATGCTTAAGCAGAATTAAAAATACTAAATGGTAAGTATTTGCTTCACATTGTTTCTTTCCTTTTTAGCATAAAACTATCAAAACCCTATGTTGACACCGCAGTTAGTATGGCTTCTCTTAAAAAGAACCTGTTTGTTTTTAAAATATTATATTAGCAAGAAGTAAAGAAAAAGAGCACTACGAGTGGCAACAAAAAGAAAGAAACTATTTAAGGCTCTGCAGAGGTAATAGGAAGTTTAATTTAAATATGTCCTAAGCTAAAGTGACAGAATCAGAAGTGTCACAGTTCTTTGAGTGTATAATAGGTGTCTCAGGGTTAGATAGTCATTTGTTTGCTTGGGCTTTAAAACTTGATTTGTAAAATACATCTCTATTACCTGGGCTTCCTACTGCTCATAATTTTTACTAGGTGTGTTTTTGGTTTATTTAAAGTATAGCTGCTCTTCCTCTGCTCAAACATTAGTCACTTTACAATAAGCTAAGTCATATCTGTTTGAGGATTTATTCTTCCTATAGAGACAAAAGTCTTACAGGATTAAAGCAAAGATACTACTACTCTGCTCCTACTAAATGTGGAAATACTTCTATTTTCCAGGAGCAATTACAGTGACAAGACAGTTTAAAGCCACATTTTACTTCAGTATTAATGGAGCAGTGAGAATGAATTCATGCCCCCATTGACACTCTCTTTATTTCTTTTCATCTCATTCTCTTGTGTGTGTGTGTGTGTGTGTGTGTGTGTGTGTGTGTGTGTGTGTATCTATACACACATATTATCTATAGCTATACCTGAAAGCTTCAAATTAAGTCACTAAAATACAATTTTATGTGTGATATCAGAAGGTATAAGACTCTAGGCAAAGGATAGAAGAAACCAGCATGGGTTATTCAGCACAAATTAATAAAGACCATTACAGGGGAAAAGTACAGAGAAGAGAAAAAAGAACATGCCATAGAAAGTATGATTCATATGCTAGACTTGACTTCTGAATGCAGAGAAATAGGTTAGAGAGAAGTATTCAATTGTGATAGATAGCTATCTAGTTGGATATAATTTTCTCACAAACATTTTCTGTTATTTGTAGTTATACAGCCTCAGAATGCTCCTTCCTTCTTCTTAACCTTTCTTCTAACATCGTTCGCAGGTTCTTCCAACAATAAATGATATTACTTCCCTGTTTCATTGTACGATCTAAAAAACCTACGCATTGTGCAAATTGACATTCTAAACTTACAGTAGAAATGGACTTACTTAATGCCTATGTAGTAGAAAGCTCCAAGTTTCCAACTGTATAGAATCTCTTTACTTTCCTGTTTCATTGTTTTCATATAATTTTTCAGTTCTTCTTGGAGTAGAATTCCATATCTATATGTGAGATATATATATATTAGTCAAATACTTACCAAATATTTGAGGCATCAAATAATGTGATCTAAAGGGCTTTGACTGTTGGAAATGTTGTTCTCAACTTAAAAGAGATAAGGGATCAGTAGTGTTTACCCTGTTAAATCTATCATTTAAGAGTTGACTGCATTATCAGTTGGTTGCATGTTGGTATTAAGATTTGGCATACTAATCAAATACTGAGGCAACTTGACTGACTCGGAATCCTCAAGACACAGCCTTAATGATATCAAGAATTGACAGACTGAGCCATATAATTTTTTATCTGATTAACACTTTAATTATAAATTAAAGTACAAATTTTCATTCTTTGTAAATCTTTCTTCTTTGTTCATACTTTCATCTTTTTCTTTCTAATTTAGGAATAATTTTTTAAATTCTTTGCCTGAAGAAATGGAATCATTGATAAGACTACAAACAATTAATCTTTCCTTTAATAGGTAAGAAACAGAACAGACAAATCTGAATATCATTTATTCAATAGAAAATGTGTAGGTGTTACTAGCAAATACAGCTAAAGAGCCAAAAAACCAAAAAGGCCCTATGTTTTTACTTTATTTAAATATCCAGGTTTATTTTCTCTTAGTTCTACTTGAAAGTGATGTTGCTTTCTTAGAATTTTCAAAACTAATATCTAAGAGATTGTTTTTGTTCCTTTTAACCATTTTAAGAACCCTGAAGCCTAGTAGGAAGACAACATACAAATAAGTAATTATAATTGCTGAAGTGGAAGCACAGTGCATCGACACAGGTGTTTCCTAGATTAGTTGAAGGTAGAAGAGGTAGGTTTGAAACTGAAATTTGAGAAGTAGACATTGCCAGACACACTAGCATGTACTAAACAAGGATGTGAGGAAATGGTGCATTTGGAACCCTTCAATAAGTTCAGTATGGCTCGGACCATAAAGTGAGGAAGTAGAAGAGGAGAAGTAACAAATGAAGTTGGGCATTTAAGCAGTAGCCAGCCCTTTAAGAGCTTTTTATGCCTGATGAAATTTAGATTTTATTCTGGAAACACTATATAGATACTACTAAAAATTAAGAATAGCTAATATTATTAATATTTATCATCTGTTGACCCTGGACTAAGTATGTTTCATGTATTACCTCATTTAATCCTCACAAAAGCCCTACATGGTAGATTCTGTTATTATGTCCATTTAAAGATCAAGGATTAGGAATTAAGTGACTCACCTAAGGTTCACTTAGGTGACTGGGACTTCAACCCAGGTGGTTTGACCCCAGAAGTTGGGCCCTTAACAACTATATCATATTGCTGCTTATGATGTAAGTTGATTCTGCTAACAATTTAATATAAATGTTAATAGGTGACATTTATCATATTACAGATACTGTCCTAGGGTCTTCATATACAGTCACTCAATCCTTATAAGAAGTACATAAATTTAGTACTGTTGTTATTCCTTATTGACGGATGAGGACTCTGTGGCACAGTGATGTTAAATACTACCTATTTAAGCTATTGTTCTGTCTGCTGTTATTTGTGTTTTCTCATGTGTAGGTTATACCATTATTGTTATTATTTAAAAATATGTGTACTTCTCAAATCTCTCCTAATTTGTACTTGTGAATTGAATTATCAGCTCTCTATTGAATTTTCTATTGAACTATCGATTGCATTGTTAAGTAGTGTCTCTGGTGGGTGGCAAAAGCTAACCCCAGTTTCTTTTAATTGGCGAGCAACATCTTTTTTAATTACCTTGCTTATGGATTGTGGGAGCAGAGGAGGGACTACTTAGCGGTGGTTTGGTTCATCTGTACTCCTGGTTTTTCAGAGCTGCCTTTTTTTTTTAACATTTTTTATTGAGTTATAGTCATTTTTCAATGTTGTATCAAATTTCAGTGTAGAGCACAATTTTTCAGTTATACATGAACATACATATATTCATTGTCACATTTTTTTTTTCACTGTGAGCTACCGCAAGATCTTGTATATATTTCCCTGTGGTATACAGTATAATCTTGTCTATCTATTCTGCATATGCCCGTCAGTATCTACAAATTTTGAACTCCCAGTCTGTCCCTTCCCATCCGCCTCTCCCTTGGCAACCACAAGTTTGTATTCTATGTCTATGAGTCTGCCTTGAGTTTACCCTTCATCATTGCTTTTTTTCAACATTAAGGCAGCAAAGGAAGGTAGTATGGGGAAGTGAAAAGGCCACAGCTGTAAAACTCTCCTTCAGCCCATCCTTGTCTTTTCTAGTTGGTGCTGCAGTTAGCCTCATACTAAAACCATGCCAACCTCTGTCCCCCAAGAGATCCTCCAGGATTTTGTGTTAATTACTGAGTATCAGCCTTCCCATCTCACTTGTGGCATCTTCAGTTTTGCTTTGGATAAGGAAGTCAGCATCCTATGCAAGTTGTGTCATTTTTTCAGGAACCAAACAATGCACTTATTTTGGAAGCTTAAGTCAAAGCAAAGTATAATCTCTAGTTTTTATTTAAGATATTGTCAATGATTCTGTTTCATAAGAAGCAAAAGTAAACTGAGGAAGAATACCTAAGGAAGAAGAGCATCTCAGGAGGATTTCCTTGTCTCCTGAATAGAAGGAAAAAAAAAAAAAAGGAGAATTTACTCCAAATTTTGCTTGATCTTTTTACACTAAATAAAAACTGTTACAGGTCTGTCCACTTAATGTATATTTCAAGGTTTCCAAAATTAAGTCCATTTTTTAATTTTTTCTGGAAAATTTGAATACAGAACTTATACCAAATATAAAATAACTTACATTAAGAAAACTACCTCATGGTATCAAACTTAGGATCATCAATTTGAAAGAATGATTTTTGCCTCTGATTCTAGTATATTTAGGTGTTCTGTTCACATTTTAATAGATTCAAAACACTACCTGAAGTTCTGTATCGAATTTCCACACTTGAAACAATTTTGATTAGTAACAATCAGGTTGGATCTGTGGACCCTCAGAAAATGAAGACAATGGAAAATCTGATCACATTGGACCTTCAAAACAATGATCTCCTACAAATTCCACCAGAGCTTGGTAATTGTGTCAACCTAAGGTAACTACAGCATTCTTTTAAGTTTTCCCATTTATTTGATTTGTTCGAGCATTATTTTTTATTTTGTTTCTGTTTTTGTTGAGGTACTCTAGTGGGCAAGTTGAAGTAAAAAATTTAATGTCTTGTTAAAAATAACAGGTAACAAAACTCAGAATTCCAATTCCATTTTTCAAGTTTTACCAAATATATATTTAGTTTTATTTATATAGTATAATATATGTGTAAATACAGCAACTGGTTGTTTCTAGTGATACTTTTCTCATCACTGTGTATGTGTATAACCTGAACCTCTATTGCATAAAAATGTCAGGGGAATATGAATGCATTAGCTGTGCATATGGAGTTTTTCAAAATCTGATTACAGACTACCACAATTTAATTCACTCCTGGCATGGTGGTCTTCCTTACTCTGCTGTTACCTCAGCCTCAAATGCCTTCACCCTGCTTTTATCAGTCATCAACTTAATTATCACCTCTGAAAACCTTCCCTACACTCGAGGCAGAGTTAGTCCCTCCTCTTATTTCCCAACCTGGTTTATTTGGACTCATTTATACTATTTCTTTGTCCTTCTTTAAAAAAGAGTTATCCCAGTGCCTAGAACATAGTAAGCACCCAGTAAGTGCTTGTTAAGTGAATATAAAGTTAAGTAACTTTGAGATGTGAACAGGAAGCCAGTAGTTAAACAGAATGTGTCAGAATAATTTAATTACTGAAAACTGCGTGTTATGGTTTAGCATATTTTACTTCACCAGAGCAGCACTGGCATCTGCTCTAGTACCTTGTATTATTGAACTGTAGGAAACAGGTGAATTGATTCTTGTTCTGTGCAGTAGTTGTATTCTCTAAAGTCTCCGTGAACACTAGATTAGCAAATAGTGAACCATTACTCCCTAGGAGAAGTACAGAGTTAGGCTCTTTCAAGCTTCTGGTCACATTGTCATCAACCAATCAACGCATAACTTTGTGTTGTGTGTGTTTCTGTATTATGACAGCTCATTTAATATTGTTGATTCATTAACACTGAGCTGTGGCCAAAATGGCACTATGATTTGTCTGAATGAAGCTTATCTAATGTTTTCTCTATAAGGTACATGACATCCTTCCTTTGTTTGGGAAAACTAGACAACACTTCAGCATTATGCTTGTGGACTATATTAAACAGTGAAATTTGTACCAATAAAAAATACAAAAATAGAAAAAAAGTCACTCTAAGTAAACCATGGAAAGGACACTGGTTTATAGAGCATGAGAGCTATAAAGGCAAAGCATTGCCTTATTTGACCTCAGCTGGGAATGTGCCTGGCAAGTGACTCAAGATTTTTTGCTGCTCTTTGCATGCCCCAAAGTGACCTTCAAAGTGCCATATGTGTCAATTTGGTGGTTCCAAATAAGTTTTAGTGAGTAGGCAAATTAGCAAATTTGGAGTCTGTGAATAATGAGGAGTGACTGTAATTAATTTCTTTTTCTATAAATTAAGAAAATCATTCTTTAAAAGAATTCCCAAGGCATATAGAAATATTTGAAGATATAATTTAGATCTACTGTATAATATGTTCTGACTCCTTTGACTTTTGTTTAAACACTTTAGATATTGAAAATTAATATAAAAGCCTCTATCTTACAATTTAAGATATTTCATAAATTGTATAAAGAAACAAATCAGCCAGCCCTTAAATCTTAAACTGAACCTTATTTCAGAATATTTAAATAGATTTTATATGTGTATATGGTCAAGGACAGGAGGGAGAGGGCAGACGTCCATGCTGACATTTCCCGTGTGGAGGAGGCTGTGTTGGCTATATGATAGCCTTTGGTGTGAGTATTTGTCAGTATGCTTATTCTAACACTTACGTAAACATAAATCAGCCATTTAGTATATGGTCATAGACTGAGAAGATGATGGGTAAAATGATGGTTCAGACAGACCTCTTCTATTTAATAGCTATGTGATCTCAGACAAGTTGTACTTAACCTTCCTGAACTTGTGTTTCTTTATCTATAAAATAGGAATATTAATGGTGCTTATATCATAGGGTTGTTAAGATGATTAAGAGAGTCAGTGAATGTGAATTGCTTAAAACAGTATCTTTCACATGATAAGTATTCGATGTAATGTTGTTTAGGTTATTGTTTGTAGTTACAATTCCAACTGTTTAAATGCTTTGACTTGAAAAGGGACAAATTTTACAAAATATACAAATTTTATTTATAAAATAGAGAATGAAATTAGAAGAAAAGCCTCCCTAACGGAAAATGTTAAAATTCTTAATTTCTCTCTTTTGTTCAGAACATTACTACTAGATGGAAATCCATTCCGTGTTCCTCGAGCAGCCATATTAATGAAAGGAACAGCTGCTATTCTGGAATATTTGCGAGACCGAATTCCTACTTAAAATGAAGTTGTTATATAATGTTGGTCATGTTAATTTTTAGAATTATTAAATTGATAACATTTTTCTAAGGTATTGTGTACATTTAGAATGGTGTAACGACATACAGTGTTCATGCATTTGTTCTGAATGTTTTGCATGAGATTTGTCCTACTCATTTTCATTCCCTTATAATATAGCAAACAGTTTCTTCAAAAGTGAATTTTTATTTGTCATAGTTTAAGATTTTTATAATGACAGAGCATTTTTGTAGAATTTTTTTCCTCATTTTTGTTTGTGTTATATATATTATGACCAACTGACGATATGATGATCCAATTTCTACCTTTTTATTGGATGTAGAATTGAAGTGAATTTTATTTAATACTGTTGTTTGGCATTTAAGACTTTTCATTACCCATAATAGGGCTTTTGTGATGCGGTTGTTCTCAGGATAAGTTTTAAATTAATATTTACTGTTTTGTTTTTGTTTTAATATAGTCAAAATGTTTTTCTAGCAGTTTTTCCATGTTTTATGAAATCATTTTGTGAGAGTTTCTAATGCCTTAGAAATGCTACAGAAGATACAGTTATTGGTGGGGAAAAGAGTGAAAGTGTTGTAATTGCTATCACAACTTTGAATTTAAAACTTAACAGGTTTTTTTTTTAAGAAGTCTTAGTATTAAGTTTCTGTACAATAAACTAGTACTTCTAGATTCAAAAAATTTAAAGAAATTGGATCTGTTTTTCCCTCAGAGTGTGAGTGAGCATTTTAAAAATACCTTTTGTTCTTTCAAAATAAGTATTGAAATTCTACAGATAACAGCAACAGAAAATAACTAATAGCATATACTGCACAGAAATCTTGAAAAGTGCTTTGTTTAAATACTTACTAAGCAAGTATTTGTATAATCTACTTGTTTGATGTGTTCTAATCCAATCTTGTGCATTTTTTTTTAATTTCTAGGGCCTTAATTTTTAAATTTGTTTGTAATCTTAATGACTAAATTTGTAGTCATTCAATAATTTTCTAAAAGGGAATTTGTTATAGGTGAACTTGATTTAATAAAAATCAAATATAAACATTTGTATTTATACCAAAAATATCAGGAGTAGACTGATCAGTCATTGTAAAACATACCATGTGATTCTATTAAGTAGCCAATTAATAGAATGTGTATTGGTTTATATAAATAGATGGGTGGATAGGTAGTTAGGTAGACAGATAAATGGATAGCTTTTAGATGATTGAAGCATGCTCATATCATAATAAAAATCATTACTAATGAAGATAAATACTACATGTTCATTAAAAAGTTACATTTTTCAAATATTGATTACAATATTTGTGTTTTTGGTTTAAAAGAAACCACATAGCAACTCTGTGTCTGCCTAAGAAATCTGCTTTGATGTTAAATGAAAAGACACATCACAATAAGGTGACATTTTATTATTTATACAATAAAGAGACTTTTATGTTATTCAAAACACTTTTTTAAATACTGAAAAAGTTGAGTACACCAAAGCCGAAAAATGGCTCTGCTATACACTGCACAGCGTTATTTTAGTCCCTGTATTTTGTATCTGTACAGAAAGCATCTTCAAAATGCATTCTAATCACATTGTAACCTTTACTGATTAGTGTCAATACGTAAAATAAAACTGGAGGATACAGCTTGCATTTGCAAATTAACTGACAAAGTAATTAATTTCACTGATTCAGTAAATGTAAAATATAGATTCATAGGACTTCTTTGCACATAAAATGAAGCAGCTTTCAAGGTTGTCATGGTCTCATACTGCAAAAAAAACCATTAAGTACATTCACAATCTATGTTAATAAAGTAATAAATATGTCTTCATTCAGTTTTATTTACATCAATATGTAGTTCAACTAAAAAGTACTGTTAATTGTGATACAGTAGGTTTTAACACATACAAAAATGACAATTTTTATGTATAATTTAAGCTCAAAATCACAATTATCTCAAAATATTAATTACAATACAGCCATTTCAATTAAACATGTCATGATTTAATTTTTTATAAAATGGTAAAATTTTTTATTAAAGTAAGCAATTTGTTTTGAATTGGCTAGAGTTCACCCATGTAGAAAACCTTAAATGGTAAGAGGTGTTTCCAGCCCCCTCCCACCCAAATTTGTATACAGCCACCTAGACTAGCAAAGAGACAGAAAAGGCCCCAATTTATAAAGATTAAGCCTCTTTTGCTATACTGCTGTGGCTTGTTATGTCTTCCATAAAAGCTTTACAAGGGGAGTGTCAATAAACTATGCAGTGAAATGCATGCATTAATATACAATATGCCTATGTAAAATGTTAGTATTTACTCTAGTTCACATTAAAATGTTCACAAAGACTGCAAAAGAAGTCATAAATAAAGAAGCACTTATAAAGATATACCAACTGCAAATTGTAAACTTGAAAATTACTTGATAATATAGTGGAATTTTTTGAAAACAGATCCCAAATCAAGTTCTTTCTCTGGCTAAAGGAGCTCTAGTCACTTGGCCTTAAGATGTCACTGTTTTGCTGCACATATGGTAGTGAAGTCAGATGTCAAAAAAGAATGAGTTTTAGAGACTGTCTTCATTTTACTAAAATAGTGGCCCAGTGTTGCATCACTGCTTAGGAATTGTTTTTTAAACTTACAGAAGAGTGAAATATTTCACTAACTGAATTATATGACCTCAAATGAAAAATGGAAAATGTGTGTGCATGCATATATGTTTAGTATATGGAAAAATATTGATATAGATAGGTGGAAATAGAGGTTCATTATGCAGTAATGAAAGGTTTATACCCCAAAATAAATGAGGTCAAAAGAAATCAATTATCAACTAGTTTAGGAATGGAAGAATTTTCATGGTTACTTAAAAAAAAAATCCTAAAAACATAGTATCTAGTATCCTTTTAATTCTTAACAAACCAATTAAAAATGTCACTATCATTGTTTAGAATTGATGTTGTTAATTTAATATTTCTCTGAATAGAAAGAGACCATAGTTCATATTATGATTAATATACATCTGGGTGGTGGGAGGGGCCCTTGGGTGGTTATAAATTGGGGGAAAATGAAACTACAATACTTACAAACCTCACTTTTGCAGGGTTATTTGTGATGGTCTTTGAAATTTACAGAGTTCAGTAGATTTTTTACCTCTGATTTTCAAGCAGGCAAAAATTACTCCTTCATATGAAGACAATGTCATTGTCCATAAGCTTCCTTTAGTCCTTTCTATATACTGAGTACAAAGAGGAACTTGATTGGCTCTAGAGATAAAAATATCTGGTTTATCTGTCTATCAATTATCTTTCTCTTCATTCCAACAGAAAATACTAAAGCTTGCATTTTTGAGAAGGAAAGCAGGATTGAGGATGTTCAAGGGAAATACCTAAACATCCTAAAGCAGTATTAAACATTTATTGCATTCCATTGACACTAGGTGTCATCAAAGCTAAAACAAATTTTCTAGAGTAAAATTTAACATAGAACATTACTTTCTGTTCTGAACAGATGCCTTTTCCACTTACAAGACCAGTAAGAGTCCTCTGAGTGGAAAGACTGCAAGTATTGAAAATAAAATTTATTTCAGTACTACATTCTGAAAATAAATTACCATAGCAAATATGAGAACTGCTTTATGTTCTATCTGCCTGAGAGTTTCATCTTGGTTTTCCTATGGACTTACTAAAAAATTACATAAGATTTCCTGACTAAATAAGAGGTGGAGAAAAGGGATAGAAAGATACAAAGAAATATAATGTGATTTCTCTTTTCCATTCATCAAATGCTTTCCCTAACCTAGCTATCATAAAGGTCAGTTGACCTGCATACCACTCATTATTCAACCTCATTACTTTACCTGTGCAAAACAGGTATGCAAAGAAAAACCCTCTGTGTGTCTATATAGAGACATAAAACCTGAGTCACAATAAAAAGCTTTTAATATAAGAAAACTTTTCTTAATGTAGGAAAATAACTTTTAAAGGGCCAAAAATACCTTTGTACAATATAATCTGCTAACTTTAAAACTTCAACGTGCTTAAGCATCACCTATTTTATAAGACCCAACAAAAAAAGAAATCATTTACAATTTTCTTAACGATAGCTTAGATACCCATATTTTAATTTCTAATATCTATTTTCATTCCCCTGAATCATTAACTTTTCTTTAAAAAAGTTAAAAGCACATTCAAATACGAGGACTCCTTAGTTTCTAATGAACAGTACCTGCTTTTTGCTAAATATTGAGGACATAGGAGGAGATGTGGGGTTGCTAGGCGTATAACTTAGTGCCAAGCCACAAAGGAATTCTAAAATTCAAAACCCAGTGTATAATTTATTTTTAAAGGAAACATTGCTGCGAAAAATATTTTATGAATAGTTAGGCCAAAGCCTGCATGAAGCCATTCTCATTCTGTTTCTGAGGACAATTAAGTCTTAAAAACTCCCTTCTCTACACTCCATTCCCTTAGCTTTCATTTGACATCATCTCCTTAGATTTCCATACTTGAACCCTGAATTGTCCCTCCTGAAGCTCCCTTGTTCACATTCAGCCACCAGTTGTAACGTCCTCTTCACTTATCTTTGTTATCTCTTCCTCTTCAGGAGCTCAGTTTTCTGGGATGACTCCTTGGCCTTCCCTCATGTGCCACTTAACTCTTATTAGAAGAAAATCTGTTTAAATGTCCCCAATGTATTATCATTAGACACTGATTTAAGGCTTGATCCAGGACATGCTTAGTCCCTGGGCTTTATACATTTCAGATGCAGACAGGAAATTTTATAGAAAAATGAGTGCATGTTGCTTCTCCATGCTGCCCCCAGATGGCACTGGCATTAGCTATGCCTTTATGTCAGTTAGGTCACTGACACTTAGAAGAGGAAGCTATCTGAACCAAAAGGTTCAATCCTTGCATCTGTACTTGCTTGTAAGGCCCTTTGAATACTTGTATGGACAGGTGAGGGGATTCTGGGCAGTATCCTGGAATGCTGCCTTTCCTCTCTGGGGTCCCTGGGCCTGTCTGGGGACAGGGTGGGGAATGCATGCAGTAGGTTTAGGGATTAAAGGCATTAGCCTAGGAACCCGTAGTCTCTTGCTGCCTTTTTATTTGACACTTGCCCGAGGATCGCTAGAAGGATTTTGTATTGTGCAGAAGGCTAAAAGCAGAGTCACACTTTCTCTACCAACAAACAGACTTGTTACCATGGGAACCACTGCAGAAAAATGAAAATACGACAAGAAGCTGAGACTTAAATGTGGAGAAAATTGATAGGGAGTTGGTTTCTGCATGGCAATTTGAGCACTTGAGATTTAAAGAAACAGGATGTTCCTTGTGTGGCCAGACCAGTGAAAAAGGACTTGTCTGTGGCTGGTCCTGGAGGCTGTGTGGGGAATGCAGGAAGAAAGCAGTAAGCATGCTGTAGCTTGATAAGGGGGACTGTAAAATCCAGGTCCATCCCTGGTGATGTTAAATTCTGAAGCCCAAATGTGAAATTAACCGTATGATCAAAGGGTATTGTCCATGTTTGGCTTGATAAATGAAAGCATCCTGCCATAACAGTTCTCACCTTTCCAAAAATCAGCACACACTACCTGAGAAGAGTATTGCACACCTAATGTGTTATTGCTTGAAACATCTTCCAAATATTAAAAACCAAAAAAAACCCCCAAACCCCCAACAACTTTCGTATCTGTGGTCCCCATCCCCTCAACAAAACAGCTATTGTAAGTAACCTGGAATTTATATTAGTTTTTCATTTAGAAAACAATTATTTCACTTTACCTGATACAAGTCCTCCTGTGCACCCTCCTCTGTCATTCTGGGGCTAATAATAAACTGATCAAACCAGACTAGGATTCCAGGACAATCTGTAACAAGGACTTGGAGTTTCAGCCTAATATGAGAAAGCAGACCTACACATTGCACTTTCAGAGGCCCCAGGGAGACCGCACCCATCTTGTTTCTTTGCTTCCCAAAAAGCTATTTTCTGAAATCCTATGAGTAATGCCTCACTCCTGTGACCTACGCCTTCGGCCCATGTTTAAATGTAATTGCCCTGAGGAGTTGAGGAAAAGTCACCCCAAAGTTGACTAGATTTCACCCTTGCTGGAGATCCAGTTTTCAAGTAGTAGTGACACCCCTCACCTGTCCCATCCTTTCAACACACGAAAACTAAAAACACTACCCAAGAAGCAGGAGACAAGCCATTACTGTAGTTGTCTTCAGGTACTTCTAACTGCAAATGGTCTGAACAGAATATGCTCTTTGTGCAGTGTTAAAGCACACTGGACATAGATTTCACTAGAAATGCTTATTTCTCACTAACGATTTGCGGTTCTATTAGAATTTCTCACTGAATCCTTTGACAGTCTCAGCAGTGAGTTCTTGAAATGCTAGAAGCCCATTAAGTTTCTATTTCTCTAAGAGTGCATACGGAGTTCTGAAATCCAATAAAACGCCTGGTTTTCTACTACTTGCAGAATTTGAAGACAAACGTGATAATAAACAGAAATTTGAGTGCAGTGCTCTAATGATAAAACATACCAGTACTTCAGTGAGTTTCGGGACCTGAGGCTTCCATGCTTGCTTTCTGCGGGTAGGATGCATTAGAATAGGCGGATGTAAGCTAATCTTTAAACCTACATGGAGCACTGCCTTTGTACTAAGGACAGGTAAGCAAATCTCTTCCTGGGACAGACAAATAAAACAGAATAGGGTCTTCATAAGCAGTTATGCCTTTGAATTTGACATATGATAAATAAGAGATGGCTTCTTTTCATTTCTGTTGTGGTCTCTAAAATCAGGCAGGAGACGCCTGGAGGAAGACTGACTGG